GAATGTCTTAATTTACCTTAGTCAAGTTGTAGCAATTTCAACCATAGTGGGTAACAGGTGTCCACTATCTACAAATAGATTCTCTCCCTCTCATCCCTGGTAACCAACAAAGAAAACTGTTTTCGGTGTATATACTCATTCATGACTTTTAAGAAAAACTTAGATCATGTAATATTTTCCCTTTTGTGACTGAACCATTTCACTCAGCATAATGTCGTCTAGATTTATCATGTTCCAAGACATTTTGATGACTGCCCATTATACTTCACAGCTGCATAGTAATCTATTGTATGTATGCACCACAACTGGCTTACCCATGCATCTACTAATGGGCGCTGAGGTTGTTTCCACCTGTTTACTACCATGAATAATGCAATGACCATGGGTTTGTGTATATGTCTTCTCATGTCACTGCTCTTAAAACTCTAAGATAAATACCTATGGATGAGATTGTTGGAACATAAAATATTCCTAGCAATTTGAGGAAGCACCATAAAGTGCTTGTACAGTGGTTGTACCATTTTACAATCTCAAATGTATAAGGGTTCAAATCTCCACCTAATCCTACCAGCATGTTGTTTTCTAGCAGTATCATTTTTGCAATAGTAAGAGGCTAACTCATGGTAGTTTTTATTTGCATCTCTCTAACAGTTACTGTTCATAAACTTTTGGTTGTGTCTCATAGACACAACTACTTCTTTCACTCAGTATAATGTCCTCCAGATTCATCCATGCTACAAGATGTTTTGAGGATTCCTCACAAAAAACTCAGGGCCCTTAGTTTTGTCCCAGGAGCTCTGCTGGTACAGGAGTTAAGCATTTGGCTGTCAATAAAAAGGTCAGCAACTTGAACCTTCCAGCTACTCTGTAAAAGAAATGTATTGGCTGTGTGCTTCCTTAAAGATTACAGCCCCAGAAACCCTATGGACTAGGGCTTCTCTCTCCTGCGTTGGAGTCAATTCAAGGGTGGTGGGACTTCTGGTTTTTATTTTGTCCCTATGTTATCTTCCAGGAAAGAAGTGGTTTTGGCGCGTTTCATACAAACTGTATTTGAAAACACAAAACCAGTCACTATGATATATAATGCTAGAGTCACAGAATTCTCTAGAAATCAAACCACCACTTGAAATTATGAGGTCCACTTCTGCAAACTTCCTTTTAGTCCAAATACACAGGAACTCTCTCATTGTCTGGAACTCTATGGTTTAACAATTTCCACCTCTTAAAAACAATCTCCAATCTAGTTATACCAGGAAAGACTTCTCCGCAATATATAGCAGCTGCTCCTCAGTTTAGAAGTGGCAAAGCACAAGTGGGTCTGCAGGACTTGGGGAAGCTAACTTTTTGCAGGATGGAATGCTCTCAGACAAAGAGAGCCAGAAGACTGATATGTAAAGTGGGAGGACAGAGTGAAAAGAATAATGGCTGTACAAGAACAGAAGTCCAGGGCAAAGCCAAGGTCACCCAGCGTTCACTATCCTCAGGGTGGAAGCTCTGGGAAGGATGCACTGTTCTTTGCCAGTTGTACATTACTTTCGAGTCAGCACTGACTCATAGTGGAGCCCCCTGTGGGTTTTCAGAGACTGTAAGCAGAGGAAGCGATTTCCCATCTTGCTCCTGCAGAGCAGCCAGTGCAGCTCCTGATCCACTAGGTAACTTAAAGTGACTGCATTCTTTTCAGTGTTGTAGGTGAGTGCACGAGTCTATGATGCTCTCCTACCCAAGGGCTACCTTCTCCCATTATGCTCGCTGGAGGTCACATAGGTGGCCCAGCTCAATCAGGGAGGCTGAGAGTAAGAGAGGCAATACACACGCATCAAAACTATTATGCTTTGCATATCCTGCATGCTCTAGATTTTGTTATTTCCAAAGAACCGGTTGCCACTGTTTACATCGCAAGTTGATATGGCTCGACTCATGCGCCTCACTGATGGGCAGTGTGGAGGCACACTTGGTGCTGGGCCAGCCTCTGCTCATCAGGCCTGAAGACATTAAGCCTCCCTGACTCTCACTACATCTATGTGCCCTCCAAACACTCATCGCCATCAATTTGGAACAGCTTCAAAGCTGACCCTCCATTGGGTTTCTGAAGGTGGAAATGGTACAGGAGGAGATTGCCCATCTTTCTCCCACAGAGCTGATGGTGGATTCAAAGCGCCACAAAGCTGTTCCCTTTGGGTTAGCAGCTCAACTCCCTACAGACTACACCATGAGAGCGTCTTTCCATACCCTCAGTGATACGGGTGCATATGGTCTACCATCTCCTCAGGTGTAGTGGGAGGGATTATAGATCTCTAGTAGTAGCCCAGGGGTTTACAAGCAGGCACTAACTTACGAGTCAGGCCTTGACTATAAGAAAGATAATGGAGGCAAACAGAAGTATTCTAATGAGTACGTGGGGGCTGCAAATGATTAACCCTCTTGGCTAAGGTTGGAGGTTTGAGTTCATCTAGAGATACTTTGGATGAAAGGCCTAACAAGCAACTTGGGGTGGGGGTGGGGGGGCGGAAATCACACACACACACACATTCACTCTCATTCACTCTCCCTTACCCTCTCTATCTCATTCTCTCTCTCTCCCTCTGTCTCCTCTCCTTCCCCCTGTCCCCAACAACCTCTTGGATTGGACAGTTGAAAATCCCCTGACACAAGAGAATGCCCTCTGTGAGGTGAAGTCTCTCTTTCTCTCTCCTCAAGTTCAAAACCACTGTGCTGGTAGAAAAGGAAAGGCACTTATGCAAGCCAACCCTGAATGGCTTCTAAACGTTATCTCTGCTTTTTAAAAGGTACACTGAAGTCCCGAAAGGTACTTCTGAGAAGCCCTTGTTGTGCAAAGGTTGAAGGCGGCTGGGCCACCACCCTCTTCCTGTCAAGAGCTGCTACAGCGTATTTCCTAAGATGGTTCCACCAGTCCAGAAGGAACATTTTTCTCCAACGCACTAACGAAGGGCAGTGGTAGCCCCTGAATACTTGTCTTAAATACCCTAAAACACATGCCTTCGGGCCACTGAAAAGGTTACCTTACTGTGCACCAGCGCCATCTCTAGCAAACAAAGAAGTCACTTGCTGTGTTTGGCAAATGTCACCACAAAATATGGAACAATTACTTTCCAGTGGAGCAACCATCCACTTGCAGCATTTTAATGCAGCACAGCAAATTCCAGCACCCACACGGCACTGTTTTGGTAGAAACTCTGGAGAATGAGCAGGGGCTCCAACTCTGTCGGGGCAGACAATAGCCGCTCACAAACACCAGCGAGCCCGAGTGGAGGAGTGCATAAGGGAACAGTGTGACCGCCGAGTAGTCAGCCTGGCCGAGGCAACTGGTCAGCGTCCCACGGGGACGTGTGCCGCCCAACGACAGGCCATCATAATGAACAGGAAGAATGGCTCGAAGCACCCCCTGCAGCTGGGAGTCACCTGATCTACTTTTGTTGCTATTTTTACATTTTTCTAAAAAGCCAGAAAAGTGGATTTCCAGACACTCGTGAGCCAGCCACTAAACTGAGCTGGCCTAACCATTTGAGCCTTCCAGAAAACAGCTCCCTCACCCTGCCTGGCCTTCTGTTCTCCTCCTCCAGTCAGTCCCAAGATAATATTTCATTTGAGACTACAGAAACGTTCAACAAAAAAATACGCTTCCTACTTTTCAGAAGGGCATATTTTAAAATAATTTTATTTTAAGGCTTTTTCCAGAAGGCACAAAAGAGAGAAAATCTCCTAAAAGAGGACACGAAAGCCAGGGAAGACTCGGGACACCGCAAGCAGGCTGTGGCTCAGCAGGCTGGAGCCTCAGTGGCACAAATGGCTGAACACTTTCATGCCAATAAAGCATGTCCCTTTTGGTTTCTTTGCCAACCACCTACACAAACCCGCACCCTGGAAGGTATTTGCTTAAGCCCCTCTTATGCAAATTCTTAAATTTTAGGGGTGCTTATGAAATAATGCACACTGGTGGTTTAGTAGGTAACATATCAGTCTGCCAATCAAAGGTCAGCAGTTCTAATTCACCAGTCACTCCATGAAAGCAAGGTGGGCAATCTCCTCCGTATGGGGTGGGAGCAGACACAGTCAGCAAACAAATACAGAAGGTGCATGTTGTTTACGTAAAAATGCCGTACTAGTGGAAAGGGAGGCGTGAAGCACCTTGGGAGACAGTACAGTCTGGCAGGATGCTCCCAGGAGGTCATAGCCTTGAACAGTTTCACCCTATACACGTGGGGTTTCCATAAGTTGGACAGCTTGACAGCAAGTAACAAAAACAAGGCCCAGGGGGGAAACATGATCTACTGAAAATCTTGGCCATGGAAAGAACACACCGCCTCTCAGTTTTGCCCATGTCTTATGAATGAGACGGAAGGCAGGAAGGAGGAGGAACGCAGCCAAGTTTGGCTTTTCAGAAGACAAATTATGTTGAATACAGCCCAATATAAATGACTGCATTTAAAAGCCGTCTACTGAAATGAAATGGAATAGATTCTACCATCACCTGCTGACCCAGTAATTACAAAAATATCTTTCCAACAAAGATATGTGACTTTTCCCACTACCCTCTATGGTTAGGAGCCACGGAGAGAAGTTCTGAACTAGGTGGGAGGGTAAGGAAGGGAAAGAACACCTATTATTTATGAATCAAGTCTTTGTAACTATTTGCAATACTGAGAATACTGTATTTTAAATACACTTGAAATTTTACCAAGTATATCAAGAGCCTAAATGTAAGTGAAGATTTATTTGAATTATATATTGTTCTCTGATAAGTTGTGTACAAACATTGTTGTTTTACTGTTGTTAGGTGCCATTCAGTTGATAACAATTTACAGCGACCCTATGAACAGCAGATATCCTGCCTACACCATCAACACAACCTCTGCCATCCTCAAGCCCACTGTTGCAGTATCACTCCATCTCATTGAGGGTCTTCCGTTCTTTCTGCTAAACCTCTTTACACAGGGTAAAGGAAGGAGGTAGAAGGTAAGGCCTGGAAAAGAGTTTCTTACCTCTTTTTAGCTTCTTCATACTGCCAGTTAAGTCGGACTCGGTCTGCAAGTCTTATTCTATCATCAAGGACGTACTTTCAGAACAGAAATGAAAGAGGAGAAAAAAAAAGGAAACATATATTAAAACCATATTTTCAAATGACATAATGCACCTTGAAAACATTATCCTGAGAGAAGTAGGTCAGACACAAAAGAAGAAATCCTGTATGATTATATTTATAGGAGATGCGAGTATACAGAGACCAAGGTTTATTAGTAGTTTTATGAAAGGCGGGCTTCTAGAAGTGGGGAGTGACTGCTTCGGGGGCACTGAGTTTCTGTTTGGAATGGAGGAAAACTTTCAGAAACGCAGAGTGGTGATGGTTTGGAGTCTTCTTCTCCCTCCCTCCATCTAGTTCCTGCTAACTCTCAGCAAATGCTGGTCTCGATATACCTACTTATTTGAGATATTTAAGAGTAAGATCTTAAGACGTATGTCCTCTTGTTTCTAACTTTATTTCGCAGTGCTCAGCCATTGCTGGTGCATGTGGGAGGATTTAATTTCTCTTTATGACTGGGAAAAGGTATTTTTTGTTAAATTTTGTTTATCTGTCCATCTGTTAATGAATATTTAGGCTGTTTTAATGATCTCATATAAGCAAGTATTTGAAAATATCTTATTTGATGAATGATGAATTTATTGACAGGAGTTTTGCTGTATATCAATGAAGAACTTTCTCTCTTTATGGTCTAATGGCAAGATAAAGAAGTGTTTTTCAAGGGCTGAGCATTCCCCACTGAGAGGAGTTGCAGGCTTACACATATAAAAGTTTTAGCCAGTGCAAGCTGTGCTGTTAACAGAAAAGATCAGCTACGGGAGATGAGCAAAGAGGAGAAAGGTTCCTCCCGTGAAGATTTACAGCCTCAAAGCCCGAAGGAAGGTCACAAGGAGTGGGAATCACTCCAGGGAAGTGGGCTTTCTTGGAGGAGTTTCTCAGATTCCCTGGTGCAGAGATGACCCCTGCCCTTGGAGGAGGCCAGAGCCCAGCTGCAGGCTCAGGGCTCTGCCCCCATCTGCATCACTAAATTTTAAATGCAATTAGTGCCCCAGGGCAAGAGTCATGGAGAGGTTAAAGTGGTATCGCTGTCTTGCTTTGACCCCTTTGGGTTAAGAATGTTCCTATGTTAAATGTTTATTAGAATTCTTTAAATTCATGTTTGAAAAAAAAAAGAAGAAAAAGAAATGTTTTAGCCAACATCCTCCTCCACAATCTCCTCTGTACACACATACTGGACTGCGGTTTCACTTTCTGAAAACGCTCTACAGTGGGGACAAGTTACTTGTCATCCTCTTTAGTAGTGACCCCTCCATCAAGCCCAATACACTTCAGTCCTTCTGAAAGCTCTCTGCAGGACTGCTGATAGGCCTCTAGGCTTTGTGTTTATACTCTTATCCTTTGAAAAGAAAATGGGCAAATTGATCAAAACTGAAGAAACTTAGAGCTAACACCATCCAGCAGGCCTCTGCCTCACAATTCCTATGTCACGGACATCATGTACCCCAACTGCTAAATCCCAAAGTATGCCTATATTATTAAAAAATCTGGCTGCAAATTCCTAATCTCAAAAAGCATGTCTAATATACAGTAACACTCATTCCCCAAACTCACACAAAGCATTGACCAAGGGTAGTAGGCAGACTTTTAAGATGATTCCCAATAATTGCCACGTCCTGTTATGGTGCCAGCCTTCTTCCCTCATGAGTAAGGTGGGACTGTGACTTTTCAACCTTCCCTTGAGAGTAAGGTGGGTCTGTGACTTGTCTTTAACCAAGAGAATACAGCAAGAGTGAAGGGAAATCATGGCCATGAAAAAAAGATAAGGACTCCCATCTGGCTACGAGACTATTGCTTTTTCAGCTTGTAAGCTTTGGTACAGAAGCTGTCCTATTGGAAGGGTATACATATGATGGCCCTGAAACCCTCAGTCCAACATCCTGTGAAGAACTGAGCACAATCACATGAGCCTGGGGTAGGTGCTTCCCCAGTAAGCCTTCCGATGGGCGCTCTGCCCTGGCACCGTGATTGCAGCCTTGTGAGAGACTCTGAGGCAAGGGAGCCAGCTCAAACATGAGTCAAACTTCTGAGTCAGGGAAATGTAAGACAATAAAAGTATACTACTACTACGACTAACAAAAATAACAGTAAGTGTACTAATAATAAGTGTGTAATAATAAGGAAGCCACTAGGCTTTGAGGTAATTTGTTATGTAATAATAGCTAGATGATGCACTAAGTTGTAGCCTTTGATGCATTTTTCAACAAGAATAAAATGGAGAAGAAAGTACAATAGTTTAAGAGTCAGAGAAGTTGGTTCAAAACCAGATCTGCTTCTCTCTAATTACCTCTTATTAGGTAACCTATCACCTCAGTCTCCTTATCTCCAAAATAGGAGTGGAAACGACTATTTTAATTAAGCTGGCAGTCAGCAAACAGGCAACCCAGGCCCAGTCCCAGTTCCAGTCTACTGTAGGGGCTTGTAAACAATGGTAACGTATTCCTAGGATTATGACACAACATAGCCAATCACGATCTCCACAGGTCATTTTTAAAACGTTCTATATAATAGATTACAGAGCCCTCAAGCCTGTCTGTTTCTCAAAGCTAGTTAAAAGTATCTCAATTCTAATTCTTATGATAAACTACCTTAAAAAACCGAAACCAAAACACCAGCTGCTGTCAAGTTAATTCTGACACATGGCAAACCCATGTGTTACAGAATAGAATGGCTCCATTGGAGGGTTTCTTGATTCTAATTTTTAACAGAAGACGGTCACCAGGCCCTTCATGGTGCTACTGGACAAGTCACTGCCAGACTTTAAGTTAGTAGTTGAGCAAAAATTGCCAAATAGAGTTTATTCTCATAAAAAGCAGCAATAAATTATTCAAGGAATTCAAAGATACACTTTTTGCCTTCCCTTTCTTCAAATCTTTGGGCAAAAGGTTGGGCATTTTTTTACTTAAGAGACAGTGTCTTCTTAGGGTATTACAGATGGTGACCATATTCACTAAACTGAAGAAGAAATATGGTCACAAATGTACTTTTGAGAACAATGAGGATTGTTCTCAAAATTGAGATTGCTCCAAAAAATCCAAGACATAAAGAGTCACTATTATACTATGCACTGCAAAGAGGCACTATTTGCCATAACCTTAAAATATTAGCTAATTATTGAAATCTCTGAGTTTTGCATCTTGTTTTCTGTTGCCCCCTTTCCCCCGTCTTCTGCATTCCACTGACATCTCAGCTTTACTTAATAAGCCTGAAGATAAAACAGCAGTCCAAAACTGCTTTCCATGTGGTAACAAATTAACATGCAAGTCCCCACCGAGCCACCACAATTGCGGCGCCTTTAAATATTCACCACCCTGCCTCAAACACTGATTATCAGCCTTGTTTTGCTGGCTAACCCAAGGCTTTGTGATTTATCAAAAGGGGCATTAAGAAACGCATCCAAGTCTCGCACAAAATTAATTTTCATTCTATTTCCTGGCATTCTATTAGAGGAATAAGAAACAACATTCACCTATAACCCACGGGTGGCTCAGCAACAAAAAGCCTTTAGGACTCTCTGGTCAAAGCCAGAGATCAGCCAATTACGCACAGCCAATGCCCTTCTTTTTGTAAATAAAGTTTTATTGGCACATGGCCACCGCCATTCACTTACGTTTCCGCTATGGCTGCTTTTGCATGATTGTAGCCAAGCTGAATCGTTGTGACAGAGACCACGTGGTCCACAAAAAAAAATGTTTTTACTATCTGGCCCTTTACAGAAACACTTTGCCCACCCACATGCAAAAAAGTCACATGTCTGTCAAGAAAACACTTAAACTTGATTCTCAAAAAGATGTAAGAATCCAAATTATAAGGATCAAGGCATTCAGCAAATCCAATTGCCTCCCTTGCCACTGAACCTTTTCAGCTGGACGTGAGACACAGTCTTTCCTCTTATGACTGAACTGCACAAAAGTCAAAATAATTCTGCCGTGAAAACGGAAAATTAAACAAAATGAGTGATGGGAACACAAAAGCCACCCTCTTCTCTCTCAGCAGCCCGTCTCTTTCTCCCCGGGTGAGCATACCTCTCCAGTGATGTCCGTCTGAGACCCAGCGTCACAGAACTGTTGAGGTATAACAGAATTGCCAAGTGCACCCTGATTCAGAGGGGCTTCTTGTACAGAGTCGGTAAGAGAGAAGTTATTCTTGAAGCCATCCGTGAGCTTAGCCAGGCTCTGAAATAGAATGAGACAAATGATATAAAAAGTGACATTAATGTCAACCTTCTCTTTAAAGAGGGGCCTTTCTGCTTTGCTTCTAAGTCCGTTTACAAGAGAACGGTCCCATTCTGACCCCTATTTTTGTTGGATGCAAAAGAAAACACATTTTACCACATGTACCTTTAAGAGGAGCCTTAGTAATTTAGACGAGACAGTGACTGAGCCATCCTGGCAGTGTGGGACTCAAGTAGAGAACAAGTGTGGGATAGTTTTCACTACTTTTTAAGCCTTCCTTCATAATTACCAAAGGAAAACATGAGCACTTCAACCTAAAAATGTTCGATCACTGAAAAAGCCTAAAAAGGAAGAATGTCCCTTTGCAAACTTTTTTTTAAAAATCTGTTTAAAGGGTATTAGGTTTCGGAAGCTCCTCCAGACCCCTGCAGGAACATTTGTGCTGTAGTTGTCAGTACTGATTCGGCTGCTACAGCTCTGCTTTCACCTTTCACTTTTTAGAAAAAAAAATTATTTTTATTAGTTATTCAATCAGAAAGAGAAAGGAAGAGTGAGAGGGAAAACTGTAGAAGCTGCAGCTCCCTTTGCAATCTTAACAGATAAACAACACAGAGAAAGGCAGCTCCCAGACGATGCTTGCATAGTTTTATAACCTGATTTTTAGTCCTAATTCTTAGCGGCCAAAAGCCATCTCCCGTGTGTTCCACGAGTTACCACAGGCTTGTTTCTAACTCATGGCCACACTTTTTGTGTCAGAATGAAAATGAGCTCCATGGGGTTCTCAGAAGGGGATCAGTGGGGCTTTCTTCTGGGGTGCCTCTGGGCTTCCTTGAACCACCAGCCTTGTGGTTAGCAGCCAAGTGCATTTCCAAGTACCACCCAGGGTATGTATTCTGGCACTGAAAACCCTTGGAGTGGAAGTTAAAACAGAAACCAAATTTGCTACCACATCTTTCAGACTTTTGAACATATTCCTTTTCAGCAGACATCACCGCAAACACAAGACTTAGAGCGGCTGGGTACAGGACGATCTGTGGAACTGGCTCTAGACTATGTGGCTGCAGTCTTTCGACCATGGGTCAGTAATGCTGAATTAAGAACAGTGGTCTAATGGTAAGAAGTTGAGCTGCAATGTCGAAGACACACGGTTCAAATTCACCAGCTGCTCTGCAGAAGGATGGACAATCTCCTCCCATGTGATTAAACTGCCGTTGAAAACCCACTGGTGGGTCAGCTATTGGTCGGTTCCGACTCAATGGTACACGACAACAACAAAAACAACAATGGAAAGGACTTGGCCCCTTTTGCTAGAGCTTCTCAGACTTAAGGACTGCAGAGACTTCACAGAAGATGCTGGAGCCTGAAGTTTCTTCTAGAAACTCTACCTCCTGCCTTCACGGTGGGCAAATCCAAGCCAGGCAACAAGATGGCTTACCTCAGCCCTGTGCTTTGTGGCCTTGCACAGCAGTCTGCTCAACTGCCTAAGTGACATATCTGCGCCCTTCTCAGGAAAGACTCTGGTCCATGCCAGGCTTGGGTTTGCCTTGTACGGAGAATGAATATCTAATGCTACCCACAGAGGCTTCAGAAATGACAGCAGCTCTTGCCATTGTCACTTCTGCTCTGAGAAGATGTAACAATTCAGAACACTCTTATCATAATCATGAAGAAGTCACTACAAATAGAGATTTCTGGATTCTGTACTCCGCCATTCAAATTCAATAGGTCTTGTGATCTGAATTTTTAACATGCACCAGGGACCCATCAAAGGAGACCTGGTGGTATAGTCCACAGAGTGCTGTGCAGTTAGTGAAAAGGCTGCATGCCTCTGGTGACTTCAAATGACCAGTGGCTTTGTAGGAGCTTCATGGGAAGTCCTTCTGAGATTTACTGCCTAGGAAAACAGATGGAAGGTTGCTGAGACTTAAAAATGACACAAACAGAAGAAAGTTTGGGGTTTTCATTGTTGTTGTATACTATCAAGTCAGAACCTACCCATAACTGACCCTTCAGCAAGTTTACAGAGGCAGTCAATCACATAGGAGGAAACGGCCCCTCTTTCTCCAAGGAGCAGCTGGTGGCTTCAAACCACGTGCTTTAGGTCGGCAGCTCAACTCCTTACCACTAGGCTACCAGAGCTCCTTAATGGTCTTTTTAGTGGGTTTTTTTTTACATGGGATCTCTGGTGGTATGGTCTACAGGGAGTTGTACTGATAATCCAAAGGCGACACCTCTCTGATGGTTTGAATCCATTAGCTGCTTCTCAGGAGAAAAATGGGCAATCTACTCCTGTGCTATTATACGGGTACAAGTTCATTACCCTGACTTCAGGAAACACAGTCCTAACATAGGTTCACATCATCAACCCTGCATTTAGTAGCTGAGTGCTTCACTGCACCATCAGGGCTCCTTTACCTCTATATCAATGTAACAGAAGCATATGGAACTTTAATATAGAATGAAACACACACATATAGCTGCTTGTGTGATGTCAAGTTGAAAATGACCCATAGCTTACCCTCCAGTGGGTTTTCAGAGGCAATGAATCACAGTGGAGGAGAATGTCCATCTGTCCAACATTCTTAAAAGAGCTGGTAGATTCGAACTGTGTGTCTTTGCCTTTGGGATTACAGTTCTTTCTCTCTCTCTCATCAGTCCCTCTCTCTGTCTCTCATCAGTCTCTGTCTCTCACCAGTCTCTGTCTCTCATCAGTCTCTCTCTCTGTGTGTGTGGGCTAGCCAAGACAGGGTATTAGCTGCGGCTCTAGACAGTACCAGGCACAGCCTCGCCTCGCACCTGCATCAGGTCCCGCCTCTCCTTCTCGCCGGTACAAATGGCCTTCTTGATGGTCCGCAGCTCATTCATGATAGCCTGTGCCTCATCCAGTTTATAGTTGGTATGAGAATTTGACATCTTACGGTCAATCCTGGTAAAGAAAGGGGGGGAAAAAAAGAATAATTTCACATGAAGTCTTAACATCCTATTAAACAAACCCGAAAAAGCTTCACAGAAGACCATTAAAAACAGAGATTTAGAAAAGGGAAATAAAGATCCCTGTAAAACTGTCCTCCTCATAGTAAATGTAAAGAAACAAGGCATGGCTGGGCAGACAGCATCTTTTACAACATTGAAACAAGCAAGAAGATTCTTGTCAGAATGTCTGCATTTTCTACCAATGATTAGGTGATAAGATCGAGTAATTTCCCAAGACTGCAGACTTCCAGACAGTAGGACTGCACCTTATTTGTTTAGTCACAATACCTAGTTTAGTGGTAAAAGAGATGTACTAAATATAAAAGTGAGAGCTATATACACAGACACTAAATGGAAAAAGGTAAAAAGTAATGAACTTTCAATAATGGTGCCTTTAACAAAAGTTAGAATGTTTTCACTTTCTCTGTATAGCTTTTAAATTTTGGCTTCAATTTATTATGTTCCCACCCTATCCATCTTCTCAGTTCTTTCCTTCTATTAAAATACATGTCCATGTATATGTTGAACCCTCATTCTTTCCTCCCTATCCATGCCCCTATCCACCTGGCAATTGAGCTAGTATCCATCCTGTCCGTCCGTCCTTCCTTCCTTCCTTCCTTCTTTTCATTCTTTTACACATCTGTCAATGTATCCCTCCAAAGAATCATTCATCACCTATCCATCTATCTTACCTTACATTCCATCATCCATCATGAATGTATTTATTCTTCCAAATATCTACCCATCCATTCATTCATCCTTCCAAATACACATCCACTCATTCATCCTCTCATCATCTATCCATTCATCTTTCTTTCTCTTCATCCGAAAACAAATCCATACATTCACACAGATATCCATGGACCGCTTCAATCTCCAACATTTGTGTGTGTGTGTGTGAGGTCTTGCTCTGGGTGGTGGGGGAAGACTACTATACGTAACAAGACTTGGCTCAGGCCTCAATGAACAGATAAATCTTCTATAACCTGTCCCTTCTCAACTCACATCTAAGTTTTAAGTTCTGGTAGTCTTAAGAGCTAAAGAAGTTAGCAAGCTTTTACTTAGAAATGGAATAAACTCCTCTTCTGAAAAGTAATTAGCTTAGGTTCTGAGTTCCAGACTGACCATTATATGCATAGGTCCTAGTTTCTAAATGTTTTCTCCATTATTATGGATTGGCTCGTGTTCTCCCAAAAAATCTGTGTCAATGAGGGTAGGCCATGATTCTGAGATATATGTAATTACCCTCCCATTTTGTAATCTGATATATTTATCCTATCAGCGATAAATTCTAACAGCTATACTGTTTGTTAATGAGGAAGAATTAAAAGTCATTTTGTTACTACAGCAGGATACAAACAGGAATGGGCTATATCTTTTTATTTTGATTTCTTATTTTAGTGGAAGTTTACAAATCCTATTATTATTTCATAGGGTGATTTGGTAGCCTAGTTGTAAGAAGTTACACTGCAATCCCAAAGGCACATCGCTCAAATCCACCAGCTGTTCCATGGGAGAAGGATGGGCAATCTCCTCCCGTGCGATTTATTGCTTCTGAAAACCCCCTGGAAGGTCAGCTATGAGTCAGTTCTGACTCGATGGCAAGCAACAACATTACTGCTTCATACACTCATTTATAAACATTTTGTTTTATAACATTACCATTAATTAATGTTTTAATCACAGTATCTAATCAGATTAGACATTGTGACTTAGTAGTAAGGAATTGTGCTGCCAACACAAAGGTTTGTGGTTTGAATTCACCATCTGCTCCATGGGAGAAAGATGGGCAATCTCTTCCCATGATTTACAGCCCACTGGAAGGTCAGATTAGGTTTTATTGCAAGTCAACCTCTTGAGATACAAAAGAAATGAAAGAAGCAAGTAGTGATGGAGGAAGCTTCTGTGCCATTAAGGAAAAAATTTAGTAGTGGAGCACATCCTTTGGATCCATATCCCTTCCCTGAGAATCTCTGAGACTCAGGGGATGACTAATACCAAGTCACATGGAAATCTCTAAGAGATGTCAGATCCACAGACATGAAAAGGAGACAAGAACTTTCTTCAGAGCCAATGAGAAAGAGCTTTCCTAGGGCTGATGTCCTGAATTTAGACTTCTAGCCTCCTAAGGGAGCTCTGGTGGCTTAGTGAAAAGAAACTACTCTGTAATCTCAAAGGTACGAGGTGTTCAAATCCACCAGCTGCTCTGTGGGAGAAGGATGAACAATCTCTCCCCACATGATTTACTGCTTCTGAAAATCTACTGGAGGGTCAGCTATGGCTTGGTTCCAACTCGATGGTACACCACAACATCTAAAAGGGAGCTCTCATAGTGTGGGTCTTAGCGAGTTGGACTAATGAACCCAAAGGTGGCACCTCTCTGGTGTTCCAAACCACCACTGGGTTTGTAGGAGAAAGACGGGCAATCTCCTCCTATGCAATTTACAGCCTCCCAAAAATCCACTGGAAGGTCATCTATGAGTTGGGAGTTGGTTCTGATTCAACAGCAATAGAAGAGTGAGAGAGCGAGCGTCCTGAGCAGGGAATACAGTTCTGTTCCTTAAAGACATCCATTTGTTGTATTTCTATTACAGCAGTGCTCGATAATGAAGATATGCATTGGTTCCTGAAAACATGGATCCCTGACCATTACCCCAAAGTTCTCAACTTTGTGCTCACAAAGAAACATCCTGGTGTGCCAGCGACAGCCCAGGACAGCCATTCACTAGCTGTGGGACTTTGGTCATGCCACTCCATCTCTTTACACCTCTCTTTCCTTTCTTGTAAACGAGGGTGCTAAAACTATTTCCCTTGCAGGGTGAATAAGAGACTTAAGGAGGAAATGCAAGGGAAGGGCTCACTGAGCAGGATGCCGGGCGTGTAATGTTTGCAGTGATTATTCTGTTGAATCTGCTCACTCATGGTAGAAAAAGTCAATGATTTACCAACTCCTATGCTTTATTATCATTAACAAATTCCCCAGGGCATATATCACAACTCACAACCAAAGTCTGACACGGGAGGTATTTGAATAATTGGCACCCTTGGAATAGGAGAAGGGCAAAGGAAATAAATAGCAGGAACCCATTCGCTTCTTGGGAATGAGGCCACCTCAGCTGGACAGCACAGCTATTGCTCATCATACACAAATCAAATACTCACGGGGAGAGAAAGTGACCTGAGCACCTTCCGGCACACAGCAGACCGACAAGCACACCACTGATCCCACGCATCGGGCAGCAACACCCCTCAATCTCAATACCTACAACAGCTCGAGTATACAGATTCCTAGGCTTCTTAGACAGACATTTCCTTGACTGTGCCTGTGGTGCAGAATTCCTGCTTAGAAATTTGTAACCAAAAGTGCACATATTAACTCAGAAAAGGAGGGCTAGGATGGTTGCGTTACTGGAAGAATGCAGTCAGTGTCACTGAATCGTACGTGCAAAAATGTGTGAAGCCGTGTATGGTCAGCTGAGTATACTCTCATCAGCAACAACTACTAAATCGGAATTTGTTCAAGTACATATATTTTTATTAAAATAAAATTTCATTTTAATTGTTGTTTTAATGAACATTCACAGAGAAGTTAGATTTTCATTCATTCATTCATTGTTGCATGTTTTACTGCCACCCTCCCTTCCCTTTCCCTTAGATGATTTTTTAAAACAATATTCATTCATTGTGACACAAATACCTACTTCCCCCAGTTCTCTTTGCAATGACATATCTCTTATTCTGAGCTGTTGTCACACATAGAATGCCTATGCCTAATCATATATTCATTTTAGACAGTTCTTTTTTTCATTTGTTCCAATGCAATGGCCACCTATTTTTTTAAAAAAATGTAAAAAAATACAGTACTTATATTTTTAAGCACGGTAATACTGGATGCAGAAAGCTGAAATACGAGAACATGAAGGAAAGTCTGGGATGGGGTACCTTTTTCCTGGGCTCTCTTGAAAGCTCTACTTTGATTCCTTCACAAAACAACGCACCTAAAAGATCAAAGTGGAAAGCTCTGCATCCTGACAGGCCGCATGGGACCCAGCATCGGGACTGGCAAGGCTTCCAGCTATTGTACATAAAGGTCACTTGGAGCTGGAGCCAACTCAACCTGACAGCAACAATGACTAGTGCAGTGCTGGAGCTTCCCTCACTCAGAGCTGACTCCCCACTGGGTGCACAGACTGCACAGCAGGGCAGGACTCCTCTTTCTCCCATGGGGCCACTGGTGGGTTTAAACTGCCAGAGAGGCACAGCTGTTGGGTTAGCAGCACAAAGTGGTGATCAAAACTTGACAGCCACAGCTAGGCCAGGAACTGTGGCACCAGCTGCACTGCAATCCCAAAGGCACATGGTTCGAAATCACCAGCTGCTTGGTGGGAGAAGGATGGCCAATCTCCTTCCATATGATTTACTATGTCTGAAAAAACTTGCTGGAGGGTCTGTTATGAGTTGGTTCCGACTCGACTGTGCACAAGCTGTGCTGCAATCCTGAAGGCACATGGTTCGAGGCCACCAGCTGCTCCATAGGAGGAGGATGGGAAACCTCCAGTTTGATGACTTGCCCCTGAAAACCCGCCAGAGGGTCAGCTATGGGTTGGTTCTGACTCCATGGCACACAACAACAAGAGGTGGTGTGGTTGGTAGGGAGCTGTGCTGCCAACCCCTAGGCAGCACCTCTCTGGTGGTGTGAACCACCCACCAGTGGCTCTGAGTTGGGAAAACGGCGTAAACTCTTAAGCGATTTACACATGTAAAGCTAGGAATTGTTTCTGATTCAGCAGCAGTGAGTTGGAGAGTTGTGTTTTTTCCATACATATTTAAAGCATCCTGGTAGCACAGTGGTTAACATGCTTCGCTGTGAACCAAAAGGTTGTTGGTTCAAAATCACTAGGTGCTCCACAAGAGAAAGAGATGAGTTTGCTCCCATAAGACTTACAATCCTGG